GGATGGTGGAGGGAGGTGGGAGGAGAGACAGGGGGCGATGGTGGACGGGCGGCGATGGTGGAGGGATGTGGCGATGATGGAGGGAGGTGGGAGGAGAGACGGGGGGTGATGGTGGACGGGGGACGATGGTGAACGGGAGCGATGGTGGAGGGATGTGGCGATGGTAGAGGGAGGTGGGAGGAGACACGGGGCGACGATGGAGGAAGGATGGTCGAGGGATGTGGAGGTGGGAGGAGAGACGGGGCGATGGTGGATGGGCGGCGATGGTGGAGGGATGTGGCGATGATGGAGGGAGGTGGGAGGAGAGACAGGGGGTGATGGTGGATGGTGGACGATGGTGGACGGGGGGTGATGGTGGAGGGATGTGGCGATGGTAGAGGGAGGTGGGAGGTGGGAGGTGAAACGGGGAGACGATGGAGGAAGGATGGTCGAGGGATGTGGAGATGGCAATCGTGGGGCAGGGGGCTACTGTGGAGGAAGGAGGTCGTGTGTGTGTGTGTGTGTGTGTGTGTGTGTGTGTGTGTGTGTGTGTGCGTGTGTCTGCACGCGGTCGGGCAGATACTACGTGTCGTGCGCAGATATCTGGCACCTGGTCTAAGGCGAAGCGCTTCCCCCTAGACAGCAGTAGATAGGGCGGGGGGCTACCTGCTCAGTTGCCTCTGGTGTGTTTAAAAAAAGGGCCTTTTGAGACCAGCAGGTGTTTTTCTGAATTTGGAAGTGGGGAAGCCAGGAAGAGATAGCAGTTATCTGGCGCCAGGATTAGGGTGAAGAGGCTCCCCCCTCCCAATCTCCTGCTCAGTCAATCCCCTGGTTCTCAGGGTAATCAATGCTGGCAGGATCATGGAGCCCCCCCCAGGTGCTAGTGGTGTCTGCTCTTACCAGCACCACTAGCACTGACAGGTGGTTAAAACAAAAAAAACAAAAAAAAAAGAGGATGGAGGTGAGGGCGGGCTCGGAGGGGGGGCCTTGATCGGGTTTGTCCGTAGGGAGCAAGTCCTCGGGACGTTCGCGATCTAGGACAAGGCAGTAGTAGGTGGAGTTGGGGTTGTGACGGGCCGTGTGGAGAAACTGGTGGGGAGTGACGGAGTTTTGGGAGGTGGGGTGGGGGAAATAGGGGATGTCGATGGGCGTGTCGGGGGGGGTTGGGGAGGCGGAAGAAGCTGGGGTGGAATGCGTAAGGCATATAGTGGTTCAGCCAAGGTGTTCCCAAAACGATGTCGCACGTCAAGTGCATGACATCGAATGAGACCTGACTGCGGAGGGTTTTGACAGTCATGTTGGTCTCGGGAACTGTGCGGTCTACTACGACGGCGGTGTCTTTGTCCCCTAGACGAATGATAATCGGGGTGTCGTAACCGGTAGAGGTGATACCGGCTTTTCGGACACACGCGTCAGTGATAAAGTTATCGGTAGCTCCATTGTCAAGGAGGGCCCGGAACTTGGTTGTAGACGCACCAAGGGTGGTGGTGATAAACTTGAGGTGGAAGCGGGATGCGTAGGAGGTGGAGATAATGGCGTTTTTGTTCGGTGCCTAATCTGACAAGTCGATCGTGTCGGGCTTGTTACTCAACAACATCAAAGAAGGTGACGAAGGATGGATTCGGGAGAAGGGTAGAGGAACGTGTACCAGTGGGAGCGGTGTCAAGTGATGCCCGGGGATTGTTGGGTGGGAAGTGCGTCGGGGGGGTGTAGATGAATTGTCGATGCCAACTGGGCCATTGGTGGAATAGAGGTCATCATCGATAGGATGACCGAGAGACTAGTCGTCAATGCTGGGTCGCGTTCGTGGCGATCCTTGGGACAGTGTTCAAGTGGAGGAGTGACCGGAAGTGGCGGATGGTAGGGTAGCGGAAGTGGCGGGTCGGGGAACCGCGAACCTGGGTGGCTGACTTGTGAATTGTTTGGCCCTTGGACAGTTTGTCTGTTGGTGGCCCCTTAGCTTGGAGGTAGGTTCGGTCCTTCGGCTTGAGTTCCGTGAGACGGGTTGGGTGGGTGTTTATAGGAGGACGGCTGGTGTGTTATCTTTTTTCTACCCGCAGAAGGTGGATGGCAGAGAGTTCGTTAGCGGAGAGCGATGTGGTGTCTAGTGGATCGGAGAGGGTGTCGGGGTCGGGTCGGAGATTTCGTGCGAGGAGGCAGAGAGAGGTTTCGTTGGTGATGTTATGAAAGAATCGTGGGCGGGGTGGGGCAGATGTGAGTGCGTCCTTGTACGGGGTGAGGAATTTGTCTATGTGAATGGCGTGGTTGAGGAGATTGGAGAGGGACATCAGGGGGTCATGGACGAGGGAGGCGACGATGTCCTTGTGGCATCCCGTTTGAAGCAGGAGATGAATGCGGCATCGCTGACGTAGTCAAGGGGGATGGGCGGGGTGGGGCGGATGTGAATGCGTCCTTGTATGAAACCGGTGGTGGGGTTGGTCGGGAGGAGTGTGGACGGAGGAAGTATTGGAAGAACGGGGAGCAGGGCTTGTGCTGTGGGGCTGATCTGGGTATGGGTGGGGAGGGTGGAAGTGATAGTGGATGAAGTCATAAGAGGTTTTGATTGGGGGGAATGGTCAATGACTCTGCGTGACGGCGGGGGTTGTCGTCTTGGACGGTGGAGCGAGCACGGTGGGGGTGGGGTGGATTAAAGCATTAAAGCGGGGGTGTGGATGACGTGCGAGCGGAGAGGGCGGTGGATGTGGAGGCGGAAGATGGGGGAAGTGTGGTGGAAATCGAGGTGTGGGGGGGAGAAGTGGTGGTGACAATCTGGATGGCGGGGGTTTGATTTTCGATGGCGGTCACGCGAGCGGAGATGGTGCAGACGGATGTTTTGATGTCGTTGATGCATGAGTGGATGGATGTCACCATGCGGAGGAGTGTTGTGAGATCGGTGGCGGCATCGGGTGCTGGTGTTTGCTCGCCTGCGAGGTTGCGGATGATGCTGTCGACGGAGTCGGTCGGATGCCGAAAATATCAATGCTGGATGATTGGGCCATGGTGGGGGAGGAAGCGGTGGTAGCGGCGGATGAGGTGTTAGCAGCAGATGAGGTGGAGGCGGCGGCAGCAGCGGCGGCGTTGGCGGCTGCACATTGAGAGTTCCTGGTTGTGCGTGTCATGCCCGGGGGTGGGGTCCTATTTACAAGGGTAGAGTAACATCAATTGATTTAGTGATGAAGATAATTTCCATGTAGAATTTGCAAAAAGAGAATTTATTTTGAATAAATTATTTCGGAATTAAATTTATTCGAAATTAATTCGAGTGTATTTTTCAAGAAAATTTGAAAAAGGTTTGAGAGAGGAAATGGATTTTTCAGGAATTTTCAAATGCAGAAAAACAATAATTAATTCTGAGGGAAAAAATTCTGATTAAATTTATTCGCATTTATGTTCGGGATAGAATTTTATAATGAAGAAGATGCTGAAATTTTGAAAAGGGATGATGCATTTTGAGTAAAGGGATTAATTCAGTCGTGAATTAATAGAATTTAGTCAAAATTAATTGAGGAGTTATGTTCGGGATAGAATTTTATAGTGAAGAAAGATGCTGAAATTTTGAAAAGGGATGATGAATTCTGAGTGAAGGGATTAATTCAGTTGTGAATTAATCGAATTTAGTCGAAATTAATTGAGGAGTTCAGAATAACGTTTTCAAAAAGAAAAATACTTCCAAATTAAAAAAAGGAGTTTGAAAAGAAATTGCAAAAAATAATTAATTGATTATGATGTATTTTCAAATTTTGAGGTAATTTTCGAAAAGGAATTTTCAATTTTATGAATTAAAATGTACTGCGAGGATCTGGGTCCTCAGCAGGCCTAAGGGGCCTTGTTACAGAAGTGCCCGCCTGAAGTGAAGGCGGGCCTAACAAATCGCGAGAGGCCCTCTGCTGTCAATTTCGTATTTGATGTCCAAGCAGTTGTGATGCGCCAGTTGGTTGAGGACAATACAGTCCGAGTAGCAAAGACATTTCCACGGCCTACCAGGCCTTTCCATAAATGCAGGCCTTGGGTAAGAATCGCAGCCTCATACATAGACAGTTGGGAGGCCCAACCGAACAAGGGCTAGCAGCTGTAACAGAGGCACAGCCACGTGGGGCCTACCGGAAGCTTCTGGGCAGAGGCCCAGGCCAGGGAGGCTGTCGGGGCAGGCAGGATCTTTCTGTATAGGAAAGAGCTGGCTGCCTGGGCTCTCATTCAGGCACTTGCTGGCTGGCGGCAGTGCTGCTGGAGCAATCGCTCGCGTGCTGGCTGCTAGCGCTGGAGCAAGGTGCTGCGCACGTGCAGTCGTGTGATGAAGCAGGGTGCCAAAGGAAGCAGAGTCAATAGGACTGGCCAGCCACAGTTCAGGGAGATTGCTCATTCGTGAGAAGTGCGTGCTGCTGAAGTGCTTGTGCGCTATCTGCGAGTAGCATGCGCGAGAGCCCTGCTGGGCAGTGCTGCGTTGAGGAAGGAAGGCAGCCATAGCCGGATAGCTAGCTGTAGGAGAGAGAGTCAGATGATAGCGGATGTATTCAGAGTCAAGATCTTCAAATAGGGAGAGTGAGAGAAGAGAGAGAGTGAGCGCATGCAAGAAGAAGGACGAGAGAGAGACAGAGGGGGACAGAGAGAGAAGAGAGTCACCCACCTTGGATGAGGATTGCCGGAA